TGATCCCCTTTGGCGACCTTCTGACAAGTCCACGGGGAATCCAGATTCCCATAATGGCCGTGCTGACATCTGCAGTGGTTCACTTAATGACGGTGCTACGAAAGATCATAAAATGGGGCAAAACTCACTTAACAAATGTCTAGCAAACGGAAAAATTGGGCTCCATTGCGGACGTAAGTCTGAGGACTACCCATACTGGAGATCTGGATAGGAGAAATGTGTCAGAGCATGCACAGTCTTATTGCACTGATGTAATCCTGGAGTAAATACAGTAAACAGTGGTCTATATTAAGTGATGGTTTATATTACACTATCTACAATATTCCACACCAGGAACAATATACACACATGTGGTAATACAGCAGGATCCAACACACAGCAGTTGCAGCAGGAAACGGACGAGAGAGAGAGAGAGAGAGAGAGAGAGAGAGAGAGAGAGAGAGAGAGAGAGAGAGAGAGAGAGAGAGAGAGAGAGAGACATTCCAGCAAAAGCCTTCCCTTTTGTACTCAGGCTCTTAAAGGGATACAGACCCTGCTTGATCTTAAAGAGACACAGACCCTGCTGAGTCATTCCTATCATTGCCTCATCCACCTTATATTACATTACATCGGCTGGTTAGCCTTGAAATCATTACCCTGACAAAACGGCACCGAGACGTTTGAAAACCAGATTTGCAACCCCACATTTCACGGCAGGGGGGCAAGGCCACCCACCCAGAGAAGCGGAAGGAGGATCCCGATGTTGTATTTTGTCTTTTCTAGGAAACCGGTGGATCGTGACGGCTGCCCACTGCCTCCATGAGGAATTGGACCCAGAAAACCCGATTTTCCGACATACGCACGTGATCAGCCCATCTTCCTTCACCGTTATCTTGGGTAAGCGATCGCTGCGAAACAAACCGAGTTTGCCACCCAGTGGGGGAGAAAGGCTTTTACAGGTCATCCTCAACTAACAAACACTCACTTAGCGACCGATCAGTGGCACTGAAGGAAGTAACTTATAACCCGTCCTCACAGTTATCACCATCTCAGCATCCTTAGTGTCACGTGATCATAATTTAGGCACTTGGCATCTGTCATGTATTTCTGATGTTTGCAGTGTCCTGGAGTCATGTGATCTCCATGTCCCGGGGGGTTCTAATAAGCAAAATCAAGCGGAGGCAAATCAATGTAGACCTAGGCTGCATCAACAGAGGGATAGAATCAAGATCAGGTGAAGTGTTAATACCACTTTACAAGGCCTTGGTAAGGCCACACTTGGAATACGGCATCCAGTTTTGGTCACCACGATGTAAAAAAGATGTTGAGACTCTAGAAAGAGTGCAGAGAAGAGCAACAAGGATGATTAGGGGACTGAAGGCTAAAATATTATAAGGAACGGTTGCTGGAATTGGGGATGTCTAGTTGAATGAAGAGAAGGACGAGGGGGGACATGATAGCAGTGTTTCCAATATCTGAGGGGCTGCCCCAAAGAAGAGGGAGTCAAGCTCTTCTCCAAAGCGCTTGAAGGCAGGACAAGAAGCAACGGATGGAAACTAATCAAGGAGAGAAGCAACCTGGAACTAAGGAGAAACTTCCTGACAGTTAGAACAATTAACAGTGGAACAACTTGTAATAATAATAATAATAATAATAATAATAATAATAATAATAACAACAACAACAACAACAGTAGTAGTAGTAGTAGTAGTAATAGTAATAATAATAGTAATAGTAATAGTAATAATAAAGTTGGAAGGGATCTTGGAGGTCATCTAGTCCAACCCCCTGCTCAGGCAGGAAAACCTATACCATTTTGGACAAATGGCTGTCCAGTCTCTTCTTAAAAACTTCCAGTGTTGGAGCATTCACAGCTTCTGGATGCAGGTTGTTCCACTGGTTAATTGTTCTCACTGTCAGGAAGTTTCTCCTTAGTTCTAGGTTGCTTCTCTCCTTGATTAGTTTCCATCCGTTGCTTCTTCTCCTGCCTTCAGGGGCTTTGGAGAATAAGCTGACCCCCTCCTCTTTTTTGTGGCAGCCCCTCAAATATTGGAAGGCTGCTATCATGTGCCCCTTTCTCTTCATTAAACTAGACATATCCCAATTCTAGAAGTTGTGGATGGAGGTTTTTAAGAAGAGACTGGACAGCCATTTAGAATAGAATAGAATAGAATAGAATAGAATAGAATAGAATAGAATAGAATAGAATAGAATAGAAGCTGGAAGGGACCTTGGAGGTCTTCTAGTCCAGCCCCCTGCTCAAGCAGGGGAACCTATACCGTCTCAGACAGGTGACTGTCTACTCTAGCCTCTTCCTAAAAATCTCCAGTGATGGAGCGCCCACGATTTCCAGTGGCAAGCTGTTCCACTGGTTAATTGTCCTCACTGTCAGGAAGTTTCTCCTTAATTCCAGGTTGCTTCTCTCTTTGATCAGCTTCCAACCATTGTTTCTCCTCCTTCCCGCTGGTGTTTTGGCGAACAACCTGGCCCCCTCTGCTATAGGGTCTCCTGCCTGAGCAGTGGGTTGGACTAGAAGACCTCCAAGGTCCCTTCCAATTCTATCATTCTGTTCTTCTTCTCCCTCCTTCTCCTCCTTCCTCTCCCGACAGGGAAGCACAGAACTCAGAGGCGGGACGACACGGAGCAAATTCTCCACCCTCAGACCATCCACATCCACCCGTCCTACAAGGCGGCCACGTTTGAGTATGACATCGCCGTGGTCAAACTCTCTGAAGAAGCCACCCTGAACAACTACGTCATGCCCATTTGCTTCCCGGATGGATCGCACCAGACAGGTGGGGGATGGGGTAGACCAGCTGGCTGGGGAATTCTGGGAGTTGAAGTCCATGCCTCTTAAAGCAGCCACATCTGGGGAATATTTTGGAAACGGCCTCTCAGGTTTCTTGCAAACTTGTGAGCGCAGTTCCAGGTACACCTGTCGTGTGGGCTCCTGGGTGTTCTTGGTGGCTGACAGCCGTGTTACTCACTTAACAGCTGCAGCGTTGACAATTGTGGCAAGTCAAGGTCGTAAAGCAGGCCACGCTCACTGAACTGACTCGCTTAGCCACGTAAATTTGGGGCTCAATGGTGGCCGTACGTAGAACAGAACAGAACAGAAATAAGAATATTTCTCACGGGCAGTGAGAGACCAGTCTTGGCTGTTCCATCTAGTTTAGAATAGAATAGGGCTGGAAGGGACCTGGGAGGTCTTCTAGTCCAGCCCCCTGCTCAAACAGCAGAACCTATACCATCTCAGATAGGTGACTATCCAGCCTCTTCTTAAAAATCTCCAGTAATGGAGCGCCCATGATTTCAAGTGGCAAGCTGTTCCACTGGTTGATTGTGCTGACTGTCAGGAAGTTTCTCCTTCATTCCAGGTTGCTTTGAATATAGAATAGAGTAGAATAGAATAGAATAGAATAGAATAGAAAAAGAATAGAATAGAATAGAATAGAATAGAATAGAATAGAATAGAATAGAATAGAAAAAGAATAGAATAAGAATGAATAGAATAGAATAAGAATTAATAGAATAGAATAGAATAGAATAGAATAGAAAAAGAATGAATAGAATAGAATAGAATAAGAATTAATAGAGTAGAATAGAATAGAATAAGAATTAATAGAATAGAATAGAATAGAATAGAATAGAATAGAAAAAGAATAGAATAAGAATGAATAGAATAGAATAGAATAAGAATTAATAGAGTAGAATAGAATAGAATAAGAATTAATAGAATAGAATAGAATAGAATAGAAAAAGAATAGAATAAGAATGAATAGAATAGAATAAGAATGAATAGAATAGAATAGAATAAGAATTAATAGAGTAGAATAGAATAGAATAAGAATTAATAGAATAGAATAGAATAGAATAGAATAGAATAGAATAGAATAGAATAGAATAGAAAAAGAATAGAATAAGAATGAATAGAATAGAATAGAATAAGAATTAATAGAGTAGAATAGAATAGAATAGAATAGAATAGAATAGAATAGAATAGAATAGAACTGGAAGGGACCTTGGAGGTCCTCTAGTCCAGCCCCCCGCTCAAGCAGGAGAACCTACACTATCTGTCTCTTTGCCTTCCCCCAGATGCCATGGTCATCGTCAGCGGATGGGGGAAACGGCTGCTGCAACGTCTCCCAGATGCCTTGATGGAGGTGAGGTAGCGGATCACGCCGATCTGGTGATCTATCAATCGATCTCCGTTGATCTCTCGGTAGGAGGAAGAGGGTTCCCACTGAGACTCGCTCCTTGACATCCGCCCTTGGTAACGCGTTTCCCTATCTGGGGTACCCCAAGGATGCTAGGACCGCAGCCATCTCTACTTGGGGGGTCTTTGAGGTATCAGCCAAGGAAATACGGAGAGCGGGGATCTCCCCAAACCGCCATCTCCAACCTGTCAGGAGGGCGAGAGAGAGGGAGAGAAGATAGATAGGTTTCCTTGGTGCTCTCTGAGCTGGGTGGTTTTCTTGCAGACGTTTCATGACCCAAACTAGGTAACATCATCAGAGGGAGGAGGAGGAGGAGGAGGAGGAGGAGGAGGAGGAGGAGGAAAAGAAGAGAAAAAGGAGGAGGAGGAGGAGGAGGAGGAGGAGGAGGAGGAGAGGGATTATAGGGTCTTTGGTGCTCTCTGAGCTGGGTGGTTTTCTTGCAGACGTTTCACAACCCAACTAGGGAACATCATCAGCGCTAGAAGGGAGGAAGAGGAGGAGGAGGAAAAGAAGAGAAGAGAAGGAGAAAGGGGAGGAAGGGGAGGGGAGGAGGAGGAGGAGGAGGAGGAGGAGGAGGACTGTGGGGTCTTTGGTGCTCTCTGAGCTGGGTGGTTTTCTTGCAGACGTTTCACAGCCCAACTAGGGAACATTATCAGGGCTAGGAGGGAGTGGGGTATGCAGGGGGGAGGAGGAGGAGGAGGAGATGGAGGAGGAGGAGGAAGACTGTGGGGTCCTTGGTGCTCTCTGAGCTGGGTGGTTTTCTTGCAGACGATTCACGGCCCAACTAGGGAACATCATCAGGGCTAGAAGGGAGGAAGAGGAGGAGGAGGAAAAGAAGAGAAGGTGGAAGAGGAGGGGGAGGAAGAGGAAGAGGAGGAAGGGGAAAAGAAGAGAAAGAGGAGGAGGAGGAGGAGGAGGAGGAGGAAGACTGTGCTCTCTGAGCTTGCTTGTTTTCTTTCAGACCTTTCATTCCCCAAACGAGGTAACATCATTAGTAAAGGAGAGAGAGAGAGAGGGGGGGGGGGGATCACACCCTGGCTCCTTTTCCCAGGCGTTGTGGTTGTTGGTTTGGCCATCCTTTTGACTTTTCTGACCTCTGACGCGGGGGTCCGTCCGGGGTTTGGAAATCCCACCGTCACGTCCAAAGTACAAGGTTGCACTTGTTCACAAAAAGAGATTAAACCGGACCCCCAATTTGTACTGACAACCTTTTTCTTCTCTGGAGCATTCATGTCCAGCCTGCTTATTCATTTTAGGAACGTTCAACCCCAACCTCCTTTTTAAAATGGAAAAAAAAATAAATCAAATTAAAGGAACCAACTCCCTAGGTCAGTTAGCAAGTTATAAAACCCATATCAGGCGCCCCTCGAAACTGCCTCAAACTAACCCCCCAAAAACGATTCTGTCTGCAACAAACCCTTCACACAAGCTTCAGACCAGCTTTCGGTACAGTCTCTCTCAAAGGGGGCGGGGGCAATTTGAAGAGGGGTGGGTGGGTGGGCTTCCACTCCCAGAATCCCCCAGCCCACTTCCCCAGGGTCTCAAAGACAGCCGTCGCTTCCTCGGTTTTCTTCCGCAGATCGAAATCCCTCTGATCGATCACCAGGCGTGTGAAGAAGCTTACTCCAAGTTGGAAAAAACTGTCACGAGGGATATGATTTGTGCCGGAGAGGAGCAAGGTAATTGGGTGGGAAAAAAGGGGGGTCCCAGAAGGGTGTGCAGACCACCCCATCATCTATTTGGTGTGCCCTGGAGAGACCCAGTCTCGGGAGAGCAAAGAGCTGTAGGATACAGCCGGTCCTCGGCTTACGTCTGTTCGTTTAGTAACCGTTCGAAGTTACAACGCCGCTGAAAAAAAGTGATTTAGGATTATTTTCGACATATATGACCCTTGCAGCATCCCCATGAATCAAGACTCAGACCCTTGGCGACTGACTCATACTTATGACGGTCGCAGCCTCCCGGGGATGTCACGTGATCCCCTTTTGCGACCTTCTGACCGGCAAAATCAATGGGGGAAGCCGAATTCGCTTAACAACCCTGTTGNGCTGAAAAAAAGTGATTTAGGATTATTTTCGACATATATGACCCTTGCAGCATCCCCATGAATCAAGACTCAGACCCTTGGCGACTGACTCATACTTATGACGGTCGCAGCCTCCCGGGGATGTCACGTGATCCCCTTTTGCGACCTTCTGACCGGCAAAATCAATGGGGGAAGCCGAATTCGCTTAACAACCCTGTTGCTTGGCAATGGACTCATATTTATGACGGTTGCAGTGTCCCAACCGTTCATTAAATGACCGTCCGAAGTTACAACAGCGCTGGAAAAAAGTAACTTATGGCCTTTGTTCACACTAACAACCGTTGCAGCGTCTGCGTGGTCACGTGATCAAAATTCATAGGCTCAGCAACTGGCGTGTACTTACGACGGTTGCAGTGTCCCCCCAGGGTCACCTGATCCCCTTTTTATGACCTTCTGACAAGCCAAGGCGATGAGGGGAAGCCTGATTCACTTAACAGGCGTGTGACTAACTTCACAAGTGTAGTGATCCGCTCAACAGCAGCGGCAGGTCGTAAAATGGAGCAAAATCCGCTCGCCAAGCATCTCGCTTAGCAACGGACATTTTTGGCCTCCCGTGTGGTTGTAAGCCGAGGACCAGCCTGCACAGGCCTCTTGTCTTTGGAAATGGGGATTGGGAGACATTGGACTGTAACTCCCATGATCCCCAGCCTGATGACGAGTAAAGCTTTCCGTAGGGATGTCAAGGAGGAGCAGAAATGTCTGAGGTAAATTATGTCGGCTGATTGAGGGGATGTCCCGGGGTCATCTGATCCCCTTTTGCAACCTTCATAAATACAGATAGTCCCGGACTTATGACAGTTCATTTAGTGACCGTTCAAAGTTACAACAGCACCGAAAAAAGCGACTTATGACCATGTTTTTCACACTTATGACGGTTGCAGCATCACATGATCAAAATTCAGATGTTTGGCTACTGGCTCCTATTTAGGACGGTCGCAGCATCCCCAGGGAGGGGTCCCGTGTTCCCCCTTTTGCGACCTCCTGACAAGCAAAGTCGATGGGGGAAGCCAGATTCACTTAACGACTATGTGACTCACTTAACAACCACAGCGATTCACTTAACAACCGTGGCAAGGAAGGTTGATTGTCCTCACTGTCAGGAAGTTTCTCCTTAATTCCAGGTTGCTTGGAATATAGAATAGAATAGAATAGAATAGAATAGAATAAGAATTGGAAGAATAGAATAGAATAGAATAGAATAGAATAGAATAGAATAGAATAGAATAGAAGAGAAGAGAAGAGAAGAGAATAGAAGAGAATAGAAGAGAATAGAAGAGAATAGAAGCTGGAAGGGACCTTGGAGGTCTTCTAGTCCAGCCCCCCGCTCAAGCAGGAGAACCTATACCATCTCAGACAGGTGACTGTCCAGCCTCTTCTTAAAAATCTCCAGTGATGGAGCGCCCACGATTTCTGGTGGCAAGCCGTTCCACTGGTTGTCTTAATTAATCTATGAAAAAAAATGATTGGGATATTTAAGACTGCAACCTCCATCATCCCCAGCCTGCTGGTCAACACATTCGGTCTGGGACAAGGTGGGGGTTTGGGGGGGGATGTGCTAGAGAGAGTAAAGCTTTCTCAAGGAGGAGCAGAAACGTCTGAGGTAAATGATGGCGGCCGATTGAGCAGACGCTTTGCCTTCTCCCCTCTGTCTCCCTCAGGAGGGAAAGACGCTTGCAGTGGGGACTCCGGGGGTCCCATGGTGGCCTGGAGCAACCGGACCGGCCAGTGGCAACTCCTCGGGACCGTCTCGTGGGGCGACGGGTGCGGCTTGCAAAACCGCTATGGGGTCTATTCCAACGTTCTCTTGTCCCTCCCTTGGATAAGACAAGTGGCTGAGATGGAGGCCTGAAGCCTGATCTCTGGAGAGCTTTCCTTCCTTCCTTCCTTCCTTCCTTCCTTCCTTCCTTCCTTCTTTCCTTCCTTCTTTTCCCTTCTCCTTCCCTTTCTTTTTCCCCTTCCTTCCTTCCTTCTTCTGATTCCCATCTCCTCCCTCCCTCCTTCCCTTCTTTCATCTTTCTCCCTTCTCTCCTCCTTTCTTTCTTTTCTCCCTCTCCTTCCCTCCCTTTTTCTTCCTCCCATCATTTCTTTTTTCCTTCTCTTCTATCCTTCCATCCTTCTTCTCCTCCGATTTCTTTTTCTTACTTCCTCCCTCCCTTTCGTCCTTCCTTTCTCTCCCCTCTTTCCTCCCTCCCTCCTCCCTCTCTTCTTCTCCATCCTTCCTTCCTTCCTTCCCTGCCTTCCTTCCCTTCTTCTCCTTTTCTCTTCTTTCCTTCCTTTATTCTCATTCCCATCACTTTCCTTCCTCCTTTCCTTCTTTCACCTTTTTCCCTTCTTTCCTTCTTTCTTTTCTCCCTCTTCTTCCTTTTTTTCCTCCCTTTTTTCCTTCTCTTCTATCCTTCCTTCCTTTTTCTCCTCCGATTTCTTTTTCTTACTTCCTCCCTTTCTTTCTTCCTTTTTCTCCCCTCTTTCCTCCCTCCCTCCTCCCTCTCTTCTTCTCCGTCCTTCCTTCCCTGCCTTCCTTTTCTTCTTATCCTTCTTTCCTTCCTTTATTCTCATTCCCGTCGCTTTCCTTCCTCCCTCTCTGCCTCCCTCCCTTCCTCTCCTATCTCACCTTCCTTTCTCCCACTCCCACTCCCTCCCTTGACTTCCTTCATTTCCTTTCCCTCCTCCCTCCCTTCTCTCCTTCCTCACTCCCATCCTTTCTTCCATCTCCTTCTTTCCTTCCTTCCTCACTCCTATCTCCTTCCTTCCTTCTTTCCTTCCTTCTTTTCATTCTCATGTCCTTTATTTTTTCATTGTTTTCTTTCTCCTTCCTTCCTTCCTTCCTTCCTTTTCTTCCTTCCTCCCTCCCTCATCTATTTGTCCTCTCTTTCCTCTGTTTCATTCTTCCTCTCTTGGAGATGACAAGAAGATCTGATCCAAGCCAGGATCCAGTTGATGCAAACTCAGGTCCAAGGACACAAAACTAAACTGGACTCTAAAGGAACAAATGTGAGTTTTTTATATATATATAAAAACCACCGGATGTTTGCAGCCCTGGATGATCCTTGGGAAAGGACGGAATAATCAGGACTCAAAGAAATCTTAGGAGAAATATAGTCCTGGGGACTTGTGATCACCCAGCCGGGCCCATGAAAGAACTTGTGACTTGGTCATGAAACTCTGCTGGTTACCTCTAGCAAAACTTCAGCATCTCAAACTCACAAACTTAACACCTTTTGAAGATTGTTAAGTGCTGACATTCACTTTTCTGAACCTAACTTTGGATTCCAACACACACACACACACCCTCCGCCCAAAAAAATCTCAAAATCCTTGGAAAGCTTGAAGTCCCATTTATCTGGAGGACAAACCAGACAATCAGTTGTGTTCACACAATACATTTGACCCATTTGTTAAATAAACCCCAATTGCTGAGTTGACTGAAGAGACTGAGCTATAGACTAACCCAAAGGGCTGAGTCCACACAACATGCTAACCCAACCCTCCTGCACATCCCCATCTCCAAACTAACCAAGTTCAGAATAACGGTGCAAACCCAGCCTGTAGATTGTTTATAAACCAGGTTAGGCAGGTGTGTGAATACAACCCATCCTGAAAATTGTTGCAGGATCTCATCAGACCCGACTGTTCTCCTGTGCTTGCAGAGAATCACGATGACCATATATTTTTTTAAAAAAAAAACATCCAAAGAAGATTAGAATTCAGGGCTTTGTGCAAATCAAATAAAACCTCAAAATCTCTCTTGTAATTTTGCATTGACTTGTGTTTTCAAGGCTGAAAGTACAATAAATAAATTAGAAAGTCAGTTTTGGGTCATTATCCATCTAGTTAACACTTCATTTAAATTTATGCCCATGGAATAAGCCAGGTTATGACACCCTTGGGCATTGTGGCTTGATGACAGCTCAGCCAAAAAACGGCAAGCAAGGGAAGACCAACGTATTCCGGTTGAAAGAAAAATCAGGTCCAATTCCAAGCCGGGAGAAAGATGCTGGAAATAAAATGGAGGCTGCTTAGGAAAGAAGGTGCCTGTTTATTGATGAGCAGAACCAGCAACTGCACACAGTTCTGGGGCAGCTGACAAAGTGATTTGATAAGTACAAGGATTTTTGGACAGTTGTACAGCATTTCGTACTTTGGAGGCTTGCTTGGTGCGCTTTTGTTATTGGATTTGTTTAGCTTGTTTCGCAGAGGCGAGCGGTGGCTCTAAAATACTGACTTCCTTGGGTTTTAATCCTGTCAAACGAATGTCATTCATTTTACCCCCTTCTCTTTAGTCTGTCTATTACCTCCGCCGAGCTCTCTTTGTGAAACAACAGTCCTGATTCAATGTTTCCGCTTTTCGCAATAGCCAGGGGTTTCATGAACGAAACCTGGTTTCTGTATTTCTTTCCCTGAGTTTTATTCTTGTGATTTGGAGGGGGGCATAGTAAAAAGGTGTATGTGTGTGTGTATGCATTCTTACCGAACACCAAACAACAACTGCCAACTGCCAATTATTTCAGGCAGGTCTGGCAGTCAAAAGAGGATGGGTTGTGAGGTATGAATCAGATGTTTCACCTGCCCACACGTGTTGGCTAACAGTCGCTGATTTCCTATCAGGCAGCACTTTCCACCGCAATGTCGGTTTGATCAGCCCCCAAAGAGATTTCAAGAATCATCAAACCGCCCACGATGGGTTACCAAACCAACCGTCGGAACAGGCTGGAACAGGCTGAAAGGCGAGGGAGGGGTGGGCTAACCGGATTTTCCGCCAAGCCCATCAGGATTCGCACCCAGGGCTGGAAAAAACAACCCAGCATCAGAACGTTAGCGTCGGCATCTCGACTTAATTTCAGTTTGTGTTCTTATTGTTGTTTGTTTGTTTGTTTGTTTTGTATCCCACTTTTATTATTTTTTAGAAGTAACTCCAGGAGATGAACATATCCGACCTTCCGTCGCCCATTTTCCCCATGACAACAACCCTCTAAGGCGGGTTGGATTGAGAGAGAAGGACTGGCCCAAAGTCAGCCAGTAGCGTTGAGGCCTAAGGCAGGACTAGAACTCACCGTATCCTAGTGATTGGTCCAAAGTCATCCAGCCAGCTTTCATGCCTAAGGTGGGACTAGAACTCACCGTGTCCTGGTGATTGGCCCAAAGTCACCCAGCCGGCTTTCATGCTAAGGCGGGACTAGAACTCACCGTCTCCTGGTGACTGGCCCAAAGTCTCCCAGCCCTCTTTCATGCTAAGGTGGGACTAGAACTCACCGTCTCCTGGTGATTGGCCCAAAGTCACCCAGCCGGCTTTCATGCCTAAGGCGGGACTAGAACTCACTGTCTCCTGGTGATTGGCCCAAAGTCACCCAGCCGGCTTTCACGCCTAAAATGGGACTAGAACTCACCGTCTCCTGGTGATTGGCCCAAAGTCACCCAGCCGGCTTTCACGCCTAAAACGGGACTAGAACTCACCGTCTCCTGATTTCTAGCCTCCTGCCTTAACTCCTAGACCTAGATCAAACTGGCTCTCTGTCATTGGTTTTCTATTTTTATCTTGCTTCTGGAAAGAGATCAGGGTTTAACCTCTTTAATGGTACAGGTAGTCCTCCATTTACAACACTTCATTTAGTGACCGTTCCAAGTCTCTCAAAAAAAGTGACTTATGCCCGTTTTTCATACCGAACGACCGATGCAGGATCCTCGCGGTCACGTGCCCCAAATTCAGACACTCACATTTATGACGGTCGCAGTGTCCCCCGGGGTCACGTGATCCCCTTTTCCGACTTTCCGCCGAGCAAAGCCAGATTCGCTTAACGACCGTGTTACTAACTTAACAACTGCAGTGATTCACTTAACAACAGAAACGTTGGGCTCCATTCCGGTCATAAGACGAGGACCACCTGTCCAAGTGAGCCGGATCCGCTTTGCAATCCCTCCATGGGGCAGAATGCCTCTGTGCCAGCGCAGAGCGTCTCCCCATGGCCCCAGACAGCCACCCTCGCTCCTCCAGTTCACCACGTTTGCCGTTCAGAGGATGTGGTTTCCTGGCTGACGTTGACCTTATATAAGATCTGTCTGGTTTCCCCAAATGAATCAGTGCTCTAGTCCTCAGCGGTCACCTTCGGGGTGAAGGCCCCCCACACACAACTTTTGGACAGATGTGCACTCCGGAAACCACAGGAAGGAGGCGCTGGCTGGGTCACGGCTGCTGTGCACAGACCGGGCCGGGCGTCTGTTTCGAGTCCCCCATCTCTGCAGCCTCCGGCGTCTTTGGGAGGAAGACAATGGTGGCGTATTCTGTCTGTTCCCGCTGGACGGACTTCGGAGAAGGAGGGGGCTTCGCCTTTTTTCCTCCGGGGAATTCCAGCATTTCATAATTGACCGTGAAAACGGTTACAGCGGCAGGCTCTTCTTCCTTCAGTTCAACCGCAAAAAAAAAAAATAATAATAATAATACGTTTTAACAAAGCCTACGTATCTCATTTTTTAAGAGAGTTAAAACTCATGGCACAACATAGGTAGGCCACTGTTTCTCAATCTTGGCAGCTTGAAGATGTGTGGACTTCAACTCCCAGAATTCCTGAGCCAGCCGTGTGAGGGGAAAGGGAGAGGTTTCCAAGCTGAGCCGTGCTGGCTCAGGAATTCTGGGAGTTGAAGTCCACAAATCATGAAGGGGCCATAGTTCCCCCATGCTGGCTGAGGAATTCTGGGAGTTGAAGTCCGCGAGTCATGAAGGGGCCCTAGTTCCCCCATGCTGGCTGAGGAATTCTGGGAGTTGAAGTCCACAAGTAATGAAGGGGCCATAGTTCCCTCACGCTGGGTCAGGAATTCTTGGAGTTCAAGTCCGCAAGTCATGAAGGGGCCATAGTT